ATTAACACACTTATATCTAGCATATGTAAAGATACACAAGTTTTCACATTATGTCATGCTTAAAAAATTTATATCTATACAATGGACCAATCTATTTTATTATATTTGTAACAAATTTTTCCGCCTAAAAATTTTGTCAAATATGACAACTACTATAGGAATTAGTTTATTAAAGAAACCTAAATTTGTTAGTTTATTAACAAATTTGAGAATATTTAAATCAATTATTGTTTAAATCAAAATTTGGTCTAAAAGATCTTTATCAATTATTTTAATATTATTTCTGAAAATAATATTAGTACAAATTTTATTTTGATTGTTGGGTGAATTAAAAAAATATATAGCTTCCACGTAAAATATAGATAAACGCATAAATTAGGCGTTAGACACACACACACACAGAGAGAGAAAGAGAGAGGCATATTGGTAGTGAAATGGACTTTACTCGGTCTTCTTCAACTCGGACGGGGGAGTTCTGGTGTCGGGTCTCCGATGCCTAAGTCAGCACTCGCTCCAAATCAAGAGTGCAAAATGAGAGTGTAGTAGTCAATGCAGAGAAAATGTATTTTTGAGATACTTTAGCCGCCTTTTATAGGGGAAGTTTACCTTAGGCCCCAAGGACTTGACCAATACCATCATGCCACGTGTCCTAGCCCCACGTGTAGGCTTATTCTCCAATATATTCATTCTTATAATCTGAATTATTCCTCGACNCACTATTCATGCATTAACAATTTTTTTACAATTCTACTTGTACTAGTTATCAACCCAAGGGACATCAAATATAAAAAAAAAAATAAAAAGTAAGTACACAAAAGTGTAATGATAAGTAAATATTGTACATATGTATATATAAAAATTAATATACATATACGTACAATATTATTTATTTGAATCATTGAAACAAACGAATTAAGAAACCAACTCTAAATGTTATTTAAAGCTTATTTATATATATTATATAACATTCATAATTTTTCCATCATCAAAAATATAATTTGCTACAAATCAATATCTTCAACTCATTCATGATTCTTAATTCTAGAAAATGCCATGTATAACTATCCAAGATTGAAAACATGGTTATTCAGGAATAAATCCATATGTAACTGAATCTGACCTTGACTTCTGTTTATTGTTATAGCATATAAATTGTTTGCACTAAAACTTGAATGGTACACTATGATCCCACTAGATGATTGTCAGTTTATGAATCAGAACCTAAGTATCACCAGCTTTCAGAAGCGATTAAAATTTAATTCGAGAACATGACTATTGCGCTTGGTAATTACCAAATGTGCACCATTGCAAAATTCTATAGAATGATCAATGTTCTTCAACAACATTAGTAAAGTGATAACTTTCAAATACAATTTATGATTAGGCAATCACGTGCACTTAACCTCATTAAAAAATTCATGAATGTACGCATGGGCAAAAAAACCCGAATATATGTAAATATGATAACTACAAACTAATAAATAAATAAAAAAGTTGCCTTGAAATACTGTACAAATAACTTTGTAATAAAACAGCTTTGCAACCCCCCATCCTGAATTGTTACTAATTGTCAATATTAACACATTTTGCTTCTTAGACCACAGACAACAATATAAACTGGAACAGGAAGAATAATTACAATAATTGCAAAATATATTTGAAATGTAGGTTTTCTATACTAATATGTATCATAATAACAAATTATAACAACTTACATTTTTTTATCTCAATTGCCGGTAAATCTTTTTGGGAAAAATTTCAAAATTAGTCCCATAGGTATAGGGGGGTGACAATTTTGGGTCCGACGGAATGCACAAAATATGAATAGTCTCACAGCTTTTAAAAAATGATCAAAAGTAGGACTTTTTTGCCGGATTTACTATTTCCAGCCCGGAGCGCCACGTGGCGCACACGTGGCTTATTTTTTATATGCTGGCATCCGACGTAGATAGGAAAAAATTCAAAACTAGTCCCACAAGTATAGAGGGGTGACATTTTTGGTCCCGATGGAATGTAGATAATTCAAAACTAGTCCCACAACTAGTAAAAAAATATGAACACGTCAGATGCCACGTGGCATTCCGGGCCGGAAATAGTAAATCCGGCGAAAAAGTCCTACTTTTGATCATTTTTTAAAGGCATAATGGCAAAAAAATACACGACCTTTACTTGATTGGCCATTTAATCACGACTTTCAAACCTTGGCAAATAAATACATGACCTTTACATTCTTGGCAACTTGATACACGGATTTAACGTCCGTCAACGGAAAGCTGACGTGGGTCTGACTCAGCAAACAGAAGTCAAATCATCAGTTAAACCTTGGCAGTTTAATACACCACCTTTTATTTTTTGGCAACCCGATACACGAACTTATCATTTTTTGCCAAAAAGCTGCCACATCATCATTTTATTTTAATTTTTATTTAAATTCATTAAATTTACTTTTATTCTTTTTATTTATTTTAATTCTACTTTTATTATCCAAATTATGTTTACAATTGAAATATATAGTGATTACAAACAAAAAATAAATAAAAAATATTTAATTTTATTTAATTTTTAATTTATATATTTTATTTTATTCTACTTTATTAATTTTTGATATTTAATGTATTCAGTATTTAATTAATAAATAATAAAATAAATTAATATTAATATAGTAAATAATGAATAATAAATAATAAAACATGTAATATAGAATTCAATAAATCATAAAATTAAAATCTACTATACTTATTTATTTAGATAAATAATATTACATTATTTATATTATATGTATTTAATATATTTATTTATTAGTTTATTCGTATATTTTTTTATATAAGTATGTTAAATAATAATAAAAGTAAACTTCAGAAAATTAAATAAATAAATAATAATATTATATTTATATTATAAATATTTATTTAATGCTTAAATAAAATTTATTTGAAACTAAATAAGATAAAATAGTATTAAAAAACCACACAAATGATAATAAAAGTTAAATAAAATGAGGTAATTTAATTATATAATTTGGTTTATTTATTTATTTAATTTATGGATATTATAAAGTTAACTTTTATTATTATTTAACATACTTAAATAAAAAAAATATACGAATAAACTAAATAAATAAATATATTAATTACATATAATATAAATAATGTAAAATTATTTCTCTAAATGAATAAATATATTATATTTTAATTATATGTTTTATTGAATTCTATATATATGTTCTATTATTTATTATTCATTATTTACTATATTAATATTAATTTATTAATTAAATACGGAATATATTAAATATTAAAAAATATTAAACTAGAATAAAATAAAATATATAAAGTGAAAATTAAATAAAATAATATATTTTTTTATTTATTTTTTGTTTGTAATCACTGTATATTTAAATTATAAACATAATTCCAATAGTAAAAGTACAATTAAAATAAATAAAAATAATAAAAGTAAATTAAATGAATTTAAATTAAAAATAAAATAAAATGATGATGTGGCAGCTTTTTGCCAAAAAAGAGTAAGTTCGTGTATCGGGTTGCCAAAAAATCAAAGGTTGTGTATTAAACTGCCAAGGTTTAAACTGATAATTTGACTTATGTTTGCTGAGTCAGACCCACGTCAGCTTTTCGTTGACGGACGTTAAATCCGTGTATGAAGTTGCCAATAATGTAAAGGTCGTGTATTTATTTGTCAAGGTTTGAAAGTCGTGATTAAATGGCCAATCAAGTAAAGGTCGTGTATTTTCCTGCCATTATGCCTTTTTTAAAAGTTGTGGGACTATTCATATTTTGTGCATTCCGTTGGGACCAAAATTGTCACCCTCCTATACCTGTGGGACTAATTTTGAAATTTTCCCAATCTTTTTGTATTGCTCTTATTATGTTCTTTATACAATCTGGAACGTTTTGAGGTGATCCTCGTCGCATTTATACACTCTTTCAAGTCTCATTTTATTTGATTTAATCTTTAATTGTAAACATACAAATAACATCTTTTAACTTTATTTTATATATTCTTCAATCATTACATAGTGTTTTTTAATTTAAAATAGGACTATAACTCAGTGTGGCTTAAATCGTCTATATTTATTTGTGGGTGCTCAGCCCGGGTGTTCAAATACACCCCAGATTTCTCCCATTCGACGGAGTCTCCCATTGCCCCAGTCTGGTGCTGTCTACCAGAACCTCCCAGTGCATTTTTTTGACCCCACTGCCCTTATCTCGATTGCCACCTATATTGACAATCCGATTGATGTTGATGACACCACGGCCAACAGGTCAAAGTTCTCTGTCGCACGGGTGTGCGTTGAGATAGATCTGCGTGGTAAACTCATTGAGAAGATTGAGCTCTCCCATGGAGGAAAGACCACCACTCAGAAGGTGGTCTATGAGAGAGTTCCTCCGTTTTGTACCCTCTGTGACCATGTAGGTCGCAAATCGACCGATTGCTACACCAGCGGCAACAAGCCCCGGCCATGACTTCCGCCTCGCTGCCGACTAGCTAGTTCGGGGTCCTCAGCTATTCTGAGGGATCCTAAGGGGAAGGGTAAGGCCCCTGCCCGAGGCCTGAGTTTCCAAAGGATCAGAAGGACAAGGGAAGGCTGTTATTGAGACTCCCTGCCAGGTCGGAAAGGCACCCCAGCCTAATCACCCCAAGGGAGTCGCCTTGGACAAGCCAAAGTTCAAAGCTACGGGGTTGTTCCCTCGTCAGTTCCTCTATACGGCACCCGTCGGCGTTCACTCCTTCTTCTCAGTCCTCGCTTCAGAGATGGAGGATGAGCTTGCTTCCACCTCCAGCCACCCAATTCACTCGACTACTTCTCTCCTTGATGATGACGACCTCTTGGACGAGAGACAGGACCGTCGGTCCCCTTAGCTATTAGCCTTCATTCTCCTCTCACCGCCACTAGCTCCCATACTAATGCGAAGCCTAGTGACCCCTTTATCTCTATGGAGGAACCTCAAGAGCTGAGGTCCCCTCCCGCCTTCACTCCCTTAGTTGGATCGCAGACTTCTCCGACACCCTCCCCTGCGAGTGAGCATTTTGTGGTGCTCACAACCAGACCCTCCTCTCCGTCCACAGTTGGGGCCCTCTTGGCACGACCTTCTCACATTCACCCCCGTCGCCCCAGGAGTCAGAACGCACACCCTTCTATGACCGGGCTCTGATCGTTGCAGGCCCGGGAGGTCCCAAGTTGCCCCCAATGGAGGACCTCCAGTCGGAGAGCCCAGATCACCCTTGGACCAGATCTCTAGAGGATATTCTTTCTGAGAGTCCTACCCACCACCATCCACAAACCAGATCTAGGGCCGCGCGGCGCTTGGCCAATTGGCCCTTGCTTCTCTCAGATAGACAGACACAGCCTAGCCACAGGAAAAACTAGTTAGGTGGCCCCCTTGACATTTGATATGTCAGTTACATCCCTAACCTGGAATGCCGGTGGCCTGGCTAATAGGGCCACTCTTGCTCACGTTCGATCCCTAGTTCGTGACCATAGTATAGACTGCTTTCCTAGAGCCCATGACCCATAACCCCTCTTTTGACTTATATTCTCGACACCTTGGTTTCCATTCCGGCGTGGGAAACATGTCTGACAAGATCTGGTTTTTTTTATTCGCGAGACTTCACATGTCGGATCATCCGTGACACAGAACATGTCCTGTACGTTGAGCTCTCTGTCGCACATCTCCCGGAACAAATCTTTCACACTTTGGTCTATGCCAGCTGTACGAGGGTTGGTCGCTATGATCTGTGGGACACCATGAGTGAGGTTGCTGAGACTATGGAGGGATCACCGTGGATGATTAGCGGTGATTTCAACATCTTTCTTCACCCCAATGAGCGCATTGGTGGCCAGTCGGACCGCTCTGCGGAGATCTTAGATTTCTCCTAGGCTGTGGCGGATTGTGAGTTAATTGACGCTGGATACGAAGGCTCACCATTCACGTGGGAGAGGGCCGGAGTTAAGGAGAGGCTCGACCGTGCTTTGATCTCTGAGGCATGGACAAGGGTGTTTGCGGTCACGACCGTCACACACCTCCGTCGAATTAAATCTGACCATGCTCCCCTTCTTATCCGGTGTCGGTTTTCGAGCACCCCACGTCGCTCCTCCTTTAGGTTCCAGAACATGTGGACCCGCAACCACACGTTCCATGACACGGTTAGGGCTTGTTGGCACCATTCAACGGGGCTTTTTGGGATGTGAAACCTGGAGGCGAAGCTTGATTGACTGAGGCGCAGTTTGAAGTAGTGGAATTGGACAGTTTTTAGAGACATTTCTCAGCGCCTTACTGCAGCTCAGAGTACGTATGCGGTTGCTGAGCGAGCTTATGATCTGGATTCGTCACCAGAGAATAGGATCGCGATGAACCGCTGCCATGCTGAGTACCAGCTCCGCCTCCTTATGGAGGAGGATTTCTGGAAGCAGAAGGATGCGGTTCGCTGGGTTGCGAAGGGGGAACGTAATACCAAGTACTTTCAGGGGTTTGTGAGGCAGAAGAGGGTCAAGTCGTATATCCATTGTATTGAGGATAACGGGTCTTCCTTGACTCAGGAGTCCCAGATACGGGAGTCAGCTGTGACATACTTCCAGTCCTTTTTCACCTCAGATCGCGACTTGCTTACACCCCCAACGCTTCCGTTTTCCCCACCATCTTGCAATCAGTCGACCCTATTGACCTCTGCGACCTCCCGAGTAGGGAGAAGATCAGGGAGGCTGTTTTTTGGATTGATCCCAACAGTGTCTCTGGCCCGGACTGCTTCTCGTCTCTATTCTTCCAGGCCTGCTGGAAGATTGTGGAGACTGACGTTGAGGAAGCTGTGGTGGACTTCTTCTCGGGTCACCAGATGCCGAAGTCCTACACAGCGACCTCCATTGTTTTGATACCTAAGAGACCTAGCCCGAGTTCCTGGGCCGACTATAGACCTATCAGCCTTTGTAATGTCACCAACAAGATCATCTCCAAGATCCTTAATGGTCGTCTAGCCCCCCTCCTATTTAGTCTCTTCGAACCAGAGTGGATTCATCAAGGATCGAGTCATCAGTGATAACATTCTTTTGGCCCAAGAGATGATCCATGACATCTCCCATGCGAACCGGTTACGTGCCCCGAACCTTGTGCTAAAGCTAGATATGGCTAAGGCATATGACAGGGTCGAATGGCCGTTCCTCAGGGAGGTTCTGTTTTGGATGGGCTTCCCTGAGCATTGGATTAGTTTTGTGGAGGCGTGCGTGGAGCACTATACGTTCTCGGTTCCTCTTAATGGTAGCCCTACTGACTTCTTTCCTTCCACCCGGGGTCTTCGACAGAGAGATTCTCTATCCCCCTCTCTTTTTGTCCCGGCAACGAATTACCTGTCTCGTTGCCTTGAGGGCTTCATTCGCAACTTCCCGAGGATGACCCATAGCACGCGTGGTTACGGCCCTCCCATCTCGCACATCTCTTCTGCAGATGACATTATTATCTTCACTCGTGCGGATAATAATGGACTGGCTGAGCTCATGCGCCTCCTGGGGCACTATAGCTCGGTATCCGGTCAGCTTGTCAGTGTGCAAAAGAGCACCTTCACCCTATATCAGCATATTGGGACCAGTGGGACCATTGGGTCGACGAGTGCACTGGCTTCGCGCGCGGAGACCTCCCCATCACCTACCTAGGTGCCCCATTGTACAAGGGTCACCTCACGCATGAGCTCTTTTCTGACATTAGACAGAGGATGATTGACCGAATCTCCGGTTGGTCTCACAGACACCTATCTTTTAGGGGTCGTCTTGCTCTGATCAAGAGCACTCTCAGCACCCTTCCGCTTCACCTCCTTACGGTCCTTGATCCACACCAGTCTACTATCTACGAGCTAGATCAGATTTTGGCCCGTTATTTTTAGGGGCATGGGGAGGGCTCCCGGAGAGGGAGACAGGTCCATTGGGTGAAGTGGAACTCTGTCTGCCGGCCCTTATTTGAGGGAGGTCTCGGGATCTGGCGTTTCTCAGATGTCGTCACTGCATTTTCTTACAAAATGTGATGGCAGTTTAGGGAGGGTAAGTCACTTTGGGCTCAGTATCTTTGCCGGAAGTACTATCCTGGAGGCGCTGCCCATCCCTGTAGGGTGACAACGGTGGTTGGTAGACATGCTCAGGAACACATTTTTTGGACTCTGGGTGAGGGGGAGGTTAGCTTTTGGGACGAGTGGTGGTTCAGTGAGGGTCCTCTTTCGAGCACTAGACAGGTCACATACCTTCCCTTCCTTCAGGTGAAGGACCTGTGGACGGTGGGGAGATGGGATAGGGATAGGCTAGAAAGGCCTTTGGGTACTGGAGCAGGCTTTAGTGATCAGGTGATAGATGAGATCCAACAGATTCCCATCTCGGAGGACGGTTTGGACAGTATGAGGTGGAAACTTACATCTTCGGGTGCATTCTCTACGACACGGCTTGGGGGGAAGTACGGCAGAATGACCAGCCTAACCTTCTCTTCGGGGCCATCTGGACCGACCTACTTACCCCTACCATCTCTGTTTTCCTTTGGCGTCTCTTTTTGAGCTGCCTACCGATTGACACTGTGATGCAGACGAGGTGATTCTCCTTCCCCTCGCGTTGCTTCTGTTGTGCTGAGACCGGCGATTTTCAGACGGAGACCTTTACCCATCTGTTTTTAGAGAGCGAGACTGTGAGGAGAGTGTGAGAGCATTATACTAGTTACACTCATATCCTCCTACCCTCCACAGATACTTTCTTTGAGCTTCTGAGTTTTTTCAGACATCGCACACACATTAGACACGTGGGCTTCCTTATTCCTTGTCTGATCCTTTGGGCCACCTGGACAGAAAAGAATAATGCGAAGTATAGGGATAACCCTTTTCAGTCTTCCCATATAATTTTGCAGGTTGACCGATATCTCTCCCTCCTCATCGCTTTGGGCAGACTCACCCAGAGAGACTGGACAGGCTGCACGCCACCTCACCGCCTTGCACTACCTCCCCTGGTGCATGTCCAGCATCTACGTCCCAGAGCTGTTGTTTGCCTGACACCCGAGTCGCCTTGGGTTAAGCTAAATACTGATGGAGCCTTTGATCGACTTACTGGAGTTGCAAGAGGTGGGTGATTAGGGATCATAGCAGCGCCCTGATTGCCGCGTTTTATGCCCCTCTTCGGGCCTCCTCGAGCTATGATGCAGAGATTCAGGCGCTTCAGATCGTTCTTCAGATTGCCGTCTCGATCTCCTCTCACATTTGGATAGAGTTGGACGCGGCAACTGTCATCACTCTTTTGTTATCTGGCCATCAGGGCACGTGGCAGATCCAGCACCCTCTCATGCGCATCAGAGCCACTCTCCGGTCGATTCGCTCCCGGATCTCGCACATCTACCGCGAGGGGAACCGGCCAGCTGGTTTTCTCGCTGGCATCGGGTCCTCCACCGCCCACAGACGCATGCTTTACTGTGACGATATTCCTATCCGCCTCCGCACCCTCATACGGATGGACCAGATAGGATACCCTTCATTCAGATTTGTGTAGCCGGTCCTACCCTTTGGCGCATCTGCCACACCGTGATGCTGACTTTCTCGCCGGGACTCCACCCGGACCTGAACCTGTTATTTTTTGTACATCTCGCTGCAGTTGCCAGCTTCTCCTTGTATTTTTTTCTTTTTTGTTTGTTTGTTTTTTTGTTGGTTTTCATTTGATTTGATGTATATCATACATTGAAATTGTAGCTTTGTGACTTTTCGGCCGATTTAGGGCTTTTTATATACAGGTTTGGGGTTCGGCCTTAACCCCCACTGTACTGGGGTGTT